GCTGGAGGCCCTGGCGCTGGTGGTTCTGGAGCTGCTGGTGACGCTAGTACAGGAGGTGCTGGCGCTGGAGGTTCTGGAGCTGCTGGTGACGCTGGTACTGGAGGTGCTGGCGCTGGAGGTTCTGGAGCTGCTAATGACGCTGGTACTGGAGGTGCTGGCGCTGGAGGTTCTGGAGCTGCTGGTGGTGCTCGCGCTCGAGGAGCTGGAGCTGGAGGTTCTGGAGCTGCTGGAGGTGCACGAGCTGCTGGTGGCGCTGGTGCTGCTGGTGCTAGTGGCGCTCCGCAGCCACGAATCTTCTTTGCTCCGCCGTCTCCGTCGTCTCTGCCACCGCCTGACTTCGTGCTTCGCCAGGTTCTTAGCCTCCCGTCGTCTACTGGTCTTCCGTTACAGCCTGGCTCACCACTGCCTGCTCCTTCTCTTTACACTGAGCAGCTAGGAGGTCTTGCTGAGCATCGTGAGCCTGCGTCGCACCTGGTCTCGCTTGTTCGCACCTGGTCTCGCTTGTTCGCACCTGGTCTCGCTTGTTCGCACTGTCCGTACTGGTCGTACTGGTAGTCATGTTCCTCATCCGCATCCGCCGGCTGTCCCCGGCACACACCTCATGGCTCTGCGTCCTTCCTCTCCTCCGCAGCGTGTTCCTCAGCCGTCTCCTCCTGCGTCTTCTTTGCCAGCCGTTGCTGACCTTGAGTCTGACCGGTTTCGTGCTGAGCACCCTATTTTCACGCTTTTGCAAGCCCCTATTGTCACTGACCCATCGTTTGAGTCTGCTGCTGCGTCTGCCTTAGTCGCTGAGCTTGTTGAGTTTGCTGCTGCCTGTCGTCTAGACTACACCGCTAGTCTTGTTGCTGAGTCTGAGTCTGTCTGACCTCTGCCCGTCGGGGGAGGGTGTGCTCTTGGCACGGACGTCCTTGAGGATAGGCAGGAGGACCTTGACTGTCTTGCAGCTGCTGCGCCTCATCTCGTGGCCATGCTGCTTGCCCCTGAGGGAGACCCGGATGCACCAGACATCCCGACCCCGCGCTCTTACGCAGAGGCGATTTTGGGTCCCTACTCCTCTCAGTGGCAGACAGTCATGGACGCAGAGATGGCATCCTGGAAGTCCACAGGCACTTACGTGGATGGCATGTGGATTTTCATGATGAAGCGGCCGCCGGGTTCTCCGCCTGTCTTCAAGGCTCGTAACGTTGCTCGAGGCTTTAGTCAGCGGGAGGGAGTTGACTTCTTCTAGACCTTCTACCCCACCCCGAAGATGACCACTCTTTGGGTGCTGCTGCATGTTGCAGCTTAGCGTGACTACGAGCTTCACTCTCTTGACTTCAGCACAGCCTTCTTACAAGGCAGCCTGCACAAGGAGATCTGGCTGCGCCGCCCACCTGGCTTCACTGTGTCGTTCCCTTCTGGTACCCAGTGGAGCCTCTGCCGGCCAGTCTATGGTCTGCGCAAGGCGCCTCGTGAGTGGCATGACAGACTAAGGACAACACTTGCGGCTCTTGGGTTTGCTCCTTCTTGGGTTTCGCTGCCGCCGCTCTACATCCTCGTGAACGTTGACGACTTCGTCTTTGCCACTGCTGACATTGAGGCTCTCGCCCTGGTGAAGTCGAAGCTACAGAACAGACACACGTGCACAGACCTGGGTGAGCTGTGCAGCTACTTTGGCTTGCAGATCACCCGGGACAGAGCACGTCGCACCATCATACTGACTCAGTCACACATGGTGCACCAGGTCCTTCAGTGCTTCAGCTTCACATGGTCCTCGGCACAGGCCACTCCTCTCGCTACAGGTCACTCGCTCTCAGCTCCACCTTCAGACGAGTCCGTAGAGCCGAGTGGTCCTTACCCAGAGCTAGTGGGCTGCCTCATGTACCTGATGACCTGCACTCGACCTGACCTCACATACCTTCTTGGCCTTCTGGCTCGCTACGTGGCTCCTCGTAGGCACCAAAAGGTGCACATGGATGCTGCTAAGAGGGTGCTACTCTACTTATGCAGTACATCGGGCATGGGGCCCGTGCTTGGAGGACGGGGCAACGTTGTCCTCACCGGGCACCCGGACGCTTCTTGGGTTGACGACCTGGCTAGGCAGCGGTCGTCACAGGGTTACACCTTCAGTCTTGGCTCTAACTCTGTTTCTTGGCGGTCTACACGCTCTTCTTCTGTTCCCAACTCCAGTTGTGAGGCTGAGATCTACGCCACAGCCATGGCTGCACAAGAGTTACGCTGGCTCACCTACCTCCTGACAGACTTGGGAGAGCGGCCTCATTCTTCTCTAGTTCTGTACGTAGACAACAAGGCCGCCATTGCCTTGTGTCAGTGTCAACGGGAGTTGTGTGTTGGCCCCGTCCTCGGTTGGGCGGAGCCGACTTCGTGGTCGGGTGCGAGGGAAGCAGCCGACGTGCAGCAGTAAGCGAGCCGGCTGACGAGGAGGTCGACCTGCACGGAGACCACTGTACGGGCGCCGTCTTCAGGGTGGCGCCGACTTCAGGGGGGTCGACTTGGGAAGTCGACCTGCGGAGGACGTCAACTTGGTGACGTCAACTCGGGGAAGCCGACTTCGGTGGTCGGCTGACGGACTGCTGGTTGACCTGGTGGTTGGTCGACCAGGCCTGCTCCTGACATGGTGGTCGATGAAGGAGGGGCCGATGTCGACCTCGACTCAGGACGCCGAGCAGTTGGGCGTCGAGTAGCTGGGCGTCAACTTTGTGACGCCGACTTCGGGTAGCCGACTTGGGTGGTCGCGCGACAACTGCGCTGGTCGACATGAAGCTGGTCGACCAGGACTGCTGGTCGACGTGGAGCTGGTCGACCAGAATGGACGTCGACCTGGAGCTGGTCAACCGGGGGTGTGGTCGACCTGGTGAGGTCAACTTGGGGTGGCCGTCGACTTGGGAGGTCGACGGGCACATACAGGAGCAGCTGGTTGACGTGGTTGCCCGGTCGACCAGGTTACCTGGGTGACGAAGTTCTGCGGAAGAGTGCGACGGTCACCCAGGCGAAGTTGGCAAGTCCGACCTCGGTGGTGGTATTTCGAGGTCGACGTGGGCGGATCAGGTGGAGTCCTCAGTACGTGGATGACTTGGAGTGTGCGTTGTGCAGGTGATGAGTCTCAACCAGCCAATCATCTGCGAGCACCTGCGAAGCGGGTGCGCTGCTGTTCTGCGGGAGCAACGCTGGCACGCCGTCAATCTGCGACGTTGGCACGCCGTCGACTTTGCACTATTGGAGCGCGGTCAACCAGGTCGTGCTGGAACGCGGTCGACCATGCTGCATTGGCAGTCGACCGACCTGAATACTAGCTCTTATGTAGCCTTGCCATGCCAACTTCATTGTACCCATTGTTGTCAACTCTCTCTAGTGAAACTCTTGCCAACTTGCCCCGTGAACTAGCAAGCAGTGTGTGCACTAGGAAAATGACTAAGGACCAACGAACTCAGAGATCACACAAGCACCCGTGCCTAGCCTGCAGTCTAGCTCCCATTGTAGTAGTTATCAACGCATGGTGCGTTGAGCGTGGACGGCACACGACTTACCTTTTAGTCAGGTCAACGTAGAGGTCACTTACCTAAGTTGCTCGTAGGCCGGCAGCCGTACAGGTCCCTAGCATGCGCGTAGGTGATACCAAGGTGATGGACACCCTAAAGGGACGGCTGGAGGATGCAAGGAGACGCCATGAAGCCCAGGAGTATGGGGCGATACCCTGGGCGGTCGTCGAGGCTGGACTTCGCTCCATGTGGGCAACGGAGCATCCCTCTTCTCGACTAGCTTCTCCTCGACCGGTGACCGACGAAGGCGGCGTCGGCGTCTGTCAAGTTTGTATGCTATAGTCTATCTAGGCTGTAGTGGGGTAGACTATAAGGGGTACAACTCTTTTAGGTTTTCATACTTGTAACCACCTTCCTGCTAGTTCATCCATTCCTCATTTCTTCAAATGGTATAGAGCAGGTTCCCTAGTGGGATTTTTTGTTTTTTTCCTAGGGCCCACCACTGAACATCGAGAATTTTTTTTTTCCTGCCCTAAGTCCGAGGCGCGCCCTGACGGCCGCCCTCCCCTTAGCGGCCCGTCGCGCCGCCCTTAGCGCCCCCACCCTACGCGGCCTCGTCGCCGCCCCTTACGGCCCGCCCGCCACCCTTCGCGGCCGCGTCGCCGCGCTTCGCGGCCCCGTCGCCGCCCTCTGTCGGCCCCGTCGCCGCCCTCTAGCGGCCCCGTTGCCGCCTTCCAGCGACCCGGTCGCCGCACGCCGCGGCCTCGTCGCAGCCCTCTCACGGCCCCGTCGCCGCCTTCGCGGCCCAACCGCCGCCCTTCACGTCCACGTCGCCGCCCTCTAGCGGCCCCGTCGCCGCCCTTTGCGGCCACGTCGCCGCCCTCTAACGGCCCTGTCGCCGCCCTTTGCGGCCCCGTTGCCGCTCTCTAGCGGCCCCGTCGCCGCCCTCCAACGGCCCGGTCGCCACCTCCCGCTAAGCCGCCGCCGAGCAGCCGCCGAGCCGCCGCCGAGCCGCCGCCGAGACGCCGAGCCGCCGAGCCGCCGCCGAGCCGCCGAGCTGCCGCCGAGCCACCGCCGAGCCGCCGCCAAGTCGCCGAGCAGACGAACCGCCGCCGAGCCGCCGCCGAGTCGCCGAGCAGACGAACCGCCGCCGAGCCACCGAGCCGCTTCCGCCACAGTTGTGGCCCTGTTCCTGCCTACTCGCCTCGGCCCTCCCCACTTAGACTGGTGAGAGCATTCTCGAGCGGCACCTTTGCCACTGTGCTACTCCTACCTTGCTGCCCTCACCGCTAGACTGCTGCTGTCATGGCTACCCCCAGTGTCCTTACCTTTGATGTTGAGGGTCGAGCTGTTGACTTTGAGGTCTGGGTCGATGACCTGCAGCTTTTCCTACAATGCGACAGGGCAGACGGTCTCTCCCTGTTCGATCTCACGTCTGGTGCCTCTCCTGCCCCGCCTGCTGATGCTGACAGAACTATTCGCTCACAGTGGGCCACACGCAATGCTTCTGCCCGTCTTGCTATGCGTCGCCACTTACCGACCGCTGTGCGTGCGCACTTTAGTCAGTACAAGAGTGCTAAGACCTTGTACGACGCTATAGTTGCACGCTACTCTTCCCCTGCCGCTGCTGCCCTTAGCCACCTCATACTGCCGTACCTGTTCCATGACCTCGCCGCTTTTCCCACAGTCACTGACCTCATTACGCACCTTCGCACTAGTGATACTCGCTACCGCGCTGCGCTTCCTGCTGAGTTTTGCGCCAAGAACCCCCCCCCCCCCCCCCCATGTACATCACCCTCTACTATATTGTCACCCGGCTCCCTGACTCCCTTCGCTTAGTCACGGACCAATTCCTCTCAAATTGCCCCACCGCACTCACCGTTGACCTCCTCGAGGAGCGCCTCCTTGCAACAGAGAAGAGTATAGTCGCTGTCGGGGCCTCTCGTGGTGACCCTCGTACCCCCGTCTTTGAGGGGTATTCCGCCTCCCCCCTCTTGCCCTCTGTTGCCTTTGCTACTGCGGCCGACCTCGTTGGCCTCGATTCGGTCGGAGCTGCGCCTGCCCCTAGCGGGAGACATCGCACCGGCAAGGGCAAGGGGGGCAAGGGCGCTGGAGGAGCTGGCGGGGGCGGCGGAGGTGGAGGGGGAGGCGGTGGAGGGAGTGGGGGTGGTGGTGGGAGTGGTGGAGGGGGTGGAGGCGTCGATGGCAGCAGTGGAGGCGGGGGTGGCGGCGGCGGTGGCGGTGGGAGCGGAGGAGGCGGAGGAGGTGGAGGAGGCGGAGGTGGCGGCGGCGGCAGTGGAGCTGGTCGCGTCTCTACGCAAAGAGGTGGCCTCGGTGGTGGACAGCGCCTGCAGCAGCAGCGCACTCGTGAGACCCCTTCCCTCCAGCAGCTTCGTGAGTGGTACGCTAGGCGTGAGCGGGGTGGGGGTGCTAGCCCCTGTACCTACGTCCTCCGTACCAGCGACCGTGTGGGTGAGTAGTGCGGGGGTCTGCACTCCACCTAGCGCTGCTTCGGCCGCCTGACGGACGCTTGGCGCCACCAGTTCCCTGACGCCACTGAGATCACTCGCTGGGGCGAGCTGTCTAGGGCGGGAGTAGCTATCTTTGATCTTGACTATGATGCTATTCTTGCTGCTATGTATGCTGTTTCTACTAGTGATGAGGGTGACTGTTACCCGTGTGTTCCGTCTGACCTGGGCATTGAGGCTGCTGCTCTAGGTGCTGGTGAGGCTGCTACGCTAGGTACTAGTGAGTCTGCTCCCTTAGGTGCTGGTGAGTCTGCGCTCTCAGGTACCACGTCGGCTCAGGCCTCCCACACCTTCACCCTTGACTCGGGTGCTTCCCGCTCCTTCTTTCGAGACCGCACCACACTCACGCCGCTTAGTCGGCCAAATGCGGTCTCCCTGGCAGACCCCTCTGGTGGTCCTGTCCTTGCCCACTTCTCTACTGTCTTACCGTGTCTGGCAGCCCCCTCTGGCGGTGCTGGGCCTGGTGGTCCTTTGGGTGCTTCGTCCCAGCGGGAGCTACTCTCTCCACAGGAGCTACGTGAGTGGTTTGCCATGCGCTGGAGGCGTGATGCTGGAGCTGAAGGTTCTACTGCTGCTGAGGGTGCTGGTACCACCGGTCCCGGAGGTGCTCTTACTGGGAATACTGGAGCTGCTAAGCCTGCGGGTACTTCTGGTGCTGGAGCTGGAGCTACTGCGTCTTCTGGTGGTTCGGCTGGAGCTGGAGCTGCTGGGGGTGTTGGCGCTGAGGGTACTGCTGACGCTAGTGCTTCTGAGGGTGCTGGAGTTGGCGCTGCTGGAGTTGGGGGTGCTACTGGCGCCAGTGTTGGCGTTGGAGGTACTGGTGCTGTTCCGTCTCGTTCTGGTGGTGCTGAGCGGCCGCGGCCGTACTTCGTTCCGCTCCTTGAGCAGGTTCTTGGTCTTCCGCCCTCTTCTAGTCCTGCTCCTCCCTTAGAGTGTCCACCGCCTGTCCAGTCCGAGTCACAGTTACAACCTACCTCCCCCCTGCCTGCTCCCTCTCCCTACACTAGTCCTACTGGAGGTCTTGCTGAGTGTTGTGAGCCTGCGTCTCGTGCTGCGTTGCCTGTCCGTGCTGCTTGCACTGGTGGTCGTGGTTTGCGTCAGCGTCGTCCTCCTGTCCCCGGTACGCACCGGATGTCTCTGCGTCCTTCCACTGCTCCGCTACGTGTCCCCTTGCCGTCTCCTCCAGAGTCCTCTCTTCCTTCTCTTTCTGACCCAGAGTCGGACTCCCTTCGTGCTGACAGTCCTACTGTCACGCGTCTCCTTGCTACTGCTGTCACTGACCCTTCCTTTGAGTCCGCTGCTGCGTCTCCCTTGGTCACTGAGCTTGTCGACTTTGCTGCTCGCTATCGTCTAGACTACACTGCTAGTCTTGTTGCTGAGTCCGAATCTGTCTGTCCTCCGACCGTTGAGGGTGTGTGTGCCCTTGGCACGGACGTCCATGAGGACAGGCAGGAGGAGTTCTAGTGTTTGGCTGCTGCTTCACCTCATCTCGTGTCCCTGCTGCTTACCCTTGAGAGAGACCCGGATGCACTTGACATCCCGACTCCGCGCTCCTACGCGGAGGCGATAGAGAGTCCTTACTCCTCTCCGTGGCAGGCAGCCATGGATGCAGAGATGGCTTCCTGGATTTCCACGGGCACTTACGTCGACGATGTTCCCCCACATGGGGCGAACATTGTCAGTGGCATGTGGATTTTCAGGGTGAAGCGGCTGCCGGGTTCTCCGCCTGTCTTCAAGGCGCGTTACGTGGCTCGAGGCTTCAGTCAGTGGCAGGGAATTGACTACTTTCAGACCTTCTCTTCCACCCCAAAGACGACCACTCTTCGGGTACTGCTGCATATAGCCGCTCAGCGCGACTACGAGCTTCACTCTCTTGACTTCAGCAATGCTTTCTTGCAGGGCAGCCTGCACGAGGAGATCTGGCTGCACCGTCCTCCTGGCTTCTCTGGGTCTTTTCCTCTTGGTACCCAGTCGAGCCTCCGGCGGCCAGTCTACGGTCTCCGCAAGGCACCTCGTGAGTGGCACGACACACTGAGGACTACACTTGCGGCTGTTGGGTTTGCTCTTTCTAATGCCAACCCGTCGCTGTTTCTACGCATTGACACCTCTTTGCCGCCATTCTACATCCTCGTGTACGTCGACGAATTGGTCTTTGCCACTGCTGACACTGAGAGACTCGCCCACGTGAAGTCGGAGCTGCAGAAGAGACACATGTGCACTGACCTGGGTGAATTGCGCTGCTACCTTGGCTTGCAGATCACCCGGGATAGAGCACAGCGCACCATTACCCTGACTCAGTCACACTTGGTGCAGCAGGTTCTTCAGCGCTTCGGCTTCACGTACTCCTCGCCTCAGGCCACTCCTTTGTCTACTCGCCACTTGCTCTCAGCTCTGCCTTCAGATGAGTCCGTAGAGTCGAGTGGCCCGTACCCAGAGCTTGTTGGCTGCCTCATGTACCTGATGACCTGCACACGTCGTGACCTTGCATACCCTCTTAGCATTCTCGCACGCTATGTTGCTCCTGGGAGACACAGACCGGAGCACATGGCTGCAGCGAAGAGGGTGTTGCGCTACTTGTGCAGTACGTCGAGCATGGGGCTTGTGCTTGGAGGGCGGAGTCCAGTGGTCCTCACTGGTCACGCAGACGCTTCTTGGGCTGACGACCAGGCTACGCAGCGGTCGTCACAGGGTTACACCTTCAGCCTTGGTTCCAGCTCTGTTTCGTGGCGGTCTACCCGCTCGTCTTCTGTTCTCGGCTCCAGTTGTGAGGCTGAGATCTACGCAGGGGCCATGGCTGCACAGGAGCTTCGCTGTCTCACCTACCTGCTGATGTCAAACATTATACATCTTGTGCTTGTTTAAGCTACAGTGGGTTAGCCTATAGGGGGTACACAATTCTAGGGTTAGGTACTTGTACTGCTTTCACTCTTAGTTCAATCATTCCTACTCATTCATTTCAACATGGTATAGAGCAGGTCCTTCGCTAGGACCGTTTTTAGGGCCCACCACTACCTACCTACCTAACTGCGCCCTAGGGCGCCTCGTTTTTCACGGCCCCTAGAGGCCCCAAACGGCCGCGCGCTCGCCCTTAGAGGCCCCTTACGGCCCCGCGCTCGCCCTTAAAGGTCCCCGATCGGCCCCGCACTAGCCCTTAGCGGCCCCGTACGGCCCCGCGCCCGCCCTTAGAGGCCCCGATCGGCCCCGTGCTCGCCCCTAGAGGCCCCGATCGACCCCGCGCTCGCCCTTAGCGGCCCCGTACGGCCACGCACTCGCCCTTAAAGGCCCCGATCGGCCCCGCGCTCGTCCCTAGAGGCCCCGATCGGCCCCGCGCTCGCCCCTAGAGGCCCCGATCGGCCCCGATCGACCCCGCGCTCGCCCCTAGAGGCCCCGAACGGCCCCACCCAGAAGGAGCCGCCCGAACCGAGCAGCCCGAACCGAGCCACCCAGTCTGAACCGAGCCGCCCGAACCGAGCCGCCCAGCCCAAACCGAGCTGCGCCGCCCGAACCTAGTCGCGCCGCCCTTTCCGAGCCGCGCCGCCCTACCTGAACCGAGCCGCGCCGTCCGTACTATACCGAGACACCCTACCTGTCCTTGGGGTGCCCCTACTGCTTTTCCTCATACTACTACTATTACTCTTACTTCTGCTATGGCTAGCCCTCCTGTGCTAGCTTTCGGTGCTGAGGGCCGCCCAGTGAAGTTCGAAACCTGGCTTGATGACCTTCACCTCTTCCTACAGCTCACTGCCAAGGAGGACATCTCACTGTACGATCACACCCTAGGCCACGCTACTGCTCCTGCTGCTACTGCTGACAGCACTGCCCGCTCACAGTGGCAGACTCGTGACGCCCACGCTCGCTTCGCTATTCGCAACTCCCTGCCGATAGATGAGCGCGAGCACTTTGGGCAGCACAAGACTGGGCAGGCACTGTACACTGCTGTCGTTGCCCGCTACTCCTCACCGGCCTCTGCCGCACTAGGCCGTCTCTCTCTTCCCTACTTGTTCCCCGACTTAGCCTCTTTCCACACAGTCGCTGACCTCATTACCCACCTCCGCACTAGTGAGGCTCGCTTCCGCGCCGCTATGCCTGATGAGTTCCTTGCCACGAACCCACCCCCGCTCTGGCTCACTCTCTACCACCTAGTCACGCGCCTCCCTGACACTCTGCGCTCAGTCAGGGACCACTTCCTCGCTCGCTGCCCCACTGAACTCACCATTGCCCTCCTCGAGAAGGAACTCCTTGCAGCTGAGGCTAGCATAGTCGCTGTAGGTGCCTCTCGTGGCGACCCCCGTACCCCGTTCTTTGAGGGGTGTTCTCCTTCCCCCCTTCTTCCCTCTGTCGCCTATGCTGCTGCTCTCGACCTCCTTGGTGCTGAGAAGGTCGGGACTACGTCTGCTTCGAGCGGGCACCGCAGCGGCAAGGGCAAAGGGGGCAAGGGCGGTGGCGGTGACAGCGGGGGAGGCGGTGGTGGGGGAGGTGGTGGCGGTGGGGGTGGTGGCGCGACTGGAGGGGCAGGTGGCAGCGGTGGGGGGGGTGGCGGCAGCGGCGGGGGAGGTGGCCGGGGCGGAGGAGGTGGTGGGGGTGGCGGTGGATGCGGCGGCGGCAGGGGTTGGGGTGGTCGAGGGGGTGGTGGCGGCGGTGGTGGTCGTGGAGGCGCTGGCGGTGGCCAGGGCCAGCAGCACACTCCGTCGCCCCAGAAGGTCCGTGAGTCGTACTCTCAGCACAAGGGGGGGGGGGGGGGGGGGGGGGGTGGCTTTAGCTGCACGTACGTCATTCGCACTGGTGACCGCACTGGCCAGCCGTGTGGGGGACCGCACGCCACACAGCGTTGCTTCGCTCATCTCAACGACGCTTGGCGTGTTCAGTTCCCTCAGGCCACTGAGCTGCCCCGCTGGATTGATCTCCTGAAGAAGGGGATTGATATCTATGCTCTAGACTTTGATGCTATTCTCACTGCTATGTATGTGATGTCTACTAGTGGAGAGGGTGCTGAGTACCTGTGTGTCCCGCCCGACCCGGGCATTAGGACTAGTGCGTCTGCCACTTCAGGTACTCGAGTGTCTGCTACCCCAAGTGCTGGTGAGGCAGCTGCTCTAGGTGCTTGTGTGTCTGCCCCCCCTGGTACTGAGTCGACTACAGCACTGCACACCTTCACACTGGACTCAGGTGCCTCTCGCTGCTTCTTTCGTGACCGCACTGCCCTTGAGCCACTTGCTCGCCAAATGCTGTCTCCCTCGCTGACCCCTCTGGGGGTCCGGTCATTGCGACCTCCTCCAATGTCCTTCCCTGTCCTGCGGTCCCGTCGGGCACACTGTCAGGTCTCCACCTCCCCTCGTTCTCTACGAACTTGGTGGCAGGTTGTGCACTCAAGGACGGGGGTGTTCACCAGTTCACCCCTGCCTATGAGCGTGTGACACACTGCACGTGTGCTCGTACGGGCCGCCACTTGGCTACCTTCACTCGGTAGCCGGGGTCGGACCTGTACACACTGACTACCGCGTCCCCTCAGGTCGCTGCGTCTGCGTCTGCGTCCGCGTCAGGTCAGCTGTCTGCCCCCTGCTCGTGTCGCTCTCTAGCGCACGAGACTGTCCTCTGGCACCACCGACTTGGCCACCCGTCTGTGCACTGCCTTCGTGCCATGCACTCCCGGTACCTTGTCTCTGGTCTTCCCAGGGTCCTCCCTCCCCTCCCACCCTCACCTGCTCCTCTTTGTCTTCCCTGTGTCAAGGGGCGGCAGCGCGCCGCTCCTCACTCCTCATTTCCCCCGACGACTGACCCTTTGCAGACGCTCCACATGGACGTGTGGGGCCCAGCCCGCGTCCGTGGTCAGGGTCTGGAGAGGTACTTCCTGATAGTTGTTGACGACAACTCGCGCTACACCACGGTCTTCCCCTTGCGCACCAAGGGTGAGTTCCCTGATGTCTTAATCCCTTGGATCCGCAGAGCCCGTCTTTAGCGCGGCGAGCGTTTTCACTCGGGCTTTCCTGTCCTGCGCTTGCACTCTGACAGAGGTGGTGAGTTCTCCTCCGACCTCTTGGCAGCCTACTGTGCTGAGCACGGCATTGAGCAGTCGTTCACGCTTCCGGCCTCTCCACAGCAGAATGGGGTTGCGGAGCGCCGCATTGGCCTGGTCATGGAGGTCGCCCGTACCTCCTTGATCCATGCGGCTGCCCCCCACTTTCTGTGGCCGTTTGCGGTCCGGTACGCTGCG